GTCCCTAGACAGCTCTCTGTAGATACCTTGTGAAGAGCCTTTGGTGCCACTTACAGAAATTTACTGCTTATAGAAATTTGGCAAGTATTTGTCACTGGGCTCAAGGAAGTAGGCTCAGATAAGAATATTCACATTTGGGGCTGGAGAGATGGCTCAGTGGTTAAGAGCACTGATTGCTCTTCCAGAGGTCCTGAGTTCAATTCCCAGCAACCACATGGTGGCTCACAACCATCTGTAATGGGATCTGATGCCCTCTTCTGGTATGTCTGATCACAGCAACTGTGTATTCACATTAATAAAATAAATAAATTTTAAAAAAAAAAAAAAAAAAAAAAAAAAAAAAAGAATATTCACATTTTGGGCTAATGCAAAGATCTAGGTAATGCAACCAAGGAATGTGTGACTTCCCTTTTGTCTTGGTAACCCTGATAAGCCCCGACTCAGTGACTTGGGGACTTTGTTTATTGCTTTGTTTGATTACTACCTGATGTGATCTCCTTATACTTTGCCTTATCTGACTACTCTGTCTTTGATATAAGAACTGATCCTATTCTCTGCAAGTACCTAGAGTGGTATAAAAGCTGGCTGGGAAAAATTAAAGCTTTTTCAGCCTCAGCACTGGCTAGAGTCATGTTATAATGTTTGTCTAATTGTCCTTTTCTTTTCAATCCTCACTCCTTGACCTTGAGACCCTGTTGACTGACTGAGCTAGCCTGATCAATAACTCTTGGCTCTGTAGTCTGCTTGAGACAGCTCCTTGCTCAAAATGTCTTTTTGCTAGAGACAGTTCTCTTATGTTAGAAAAAAAAATCTGAAAAGCTTTCTGGATAGCTCATGAGTTTTCCAACCAAGGTGAGAAAAGCTGCTAGGAAAAATTCTAAAATAGCTATGTTCTTTCTTTAGAGATCTCCAGATAGCTCAGCTTTGCTAGAAAAAATAAAACAATCTAAAAAAGAACTGATATTGCTTTCTCATTCAGACCAAAAGCCCAGTCTTTTATTTACATATCAACTCAGTTATTTACTTCAGGTTCCCTCTTGACCATCCCATGAATCAACATTCCATTACCTCAGCCCCTTGATTCTTAGAAAAAGACAGCAAGCACATTAAAAACAAAGCAAAACAAAACACCATGGCAAATGAATTCAGATACCTGCTTGCCTTTGTAAGCACAAACAATAAAGTTAGCTGGGTGGGATCCTGTCCTGAGATTACCATTCTGACCACGCCTGGACCTAAATGAATTCTGTTCCAGACTGACCTTGAACTCAGAAATCTGCCTGCAGTTGTATCTGATTTTCTGACAAGCTGACTCAAAGTGTAGTTGCTTCTGTTTTTCTAGATCCTTGAAGCCCCTCACATAATTCATATTGCACCCTTATATTTTGCATAGCTGAGAAATTACATATTCTCCATCTCATGTTTTCAGAGGTCTTTCCCACAGCCTTAAAGGCTGTGCTAAAGGTTATATCATTTACCACTTTTGCTAAGGACATAGATACACCCTTGTCTCCTGGACTTGTGCTGTCTCTAATGTCTCTAATTATTAGCCTTGGCAGAGAGGAATTCCCAGATAGCCTTTGCAGGGAGAATATTTCCAAAGGAAGAACATGAAGCCATATGTATATTTGGCTTGTTTTATCCAAACAAGCCTCATGCCCAGCAACTGTCAACACGTGTGGAGGCCCACACCCTGCTGGGCCTGTTCCAGGGACAAAAGACCATGTCACACTGTCTTTTCCAGACCATGCAGGACTCAGCAACTGGAAAATGGCCATCTTACCTATAACAATCTACAGATTTAGTATAATATTCATCAAAATTCCAATGCAAGTCTTCATAAAAATTGAAAAAATAAACTTCAACTTCATATGGAAACAAACTAACAAAAAACCTTACACTTAAAAGTATTGTTGAATAATAAATGAAATCCCAGACTTCAAGTTGTACTACAGAGATATACTAATAAAAAGTGACATGCTACTGACATAAAAAGACATGTTGATCAATGAAATTGAATTAAGACCCAGACATAAGTCTACATACCTATGTATACTTGATTTCTTATAAAGAAGTAAAAAAACAAAAACAAAAAACCCAAAAAACAAACAAACAAACAAAAACAAACCAAGCCAAGCCAACAACAACAAAAAACACACTGGAGGAAAGACAGCATCTTCAACAATTAGTTCTAGTACTGGATGGCTGCCTGTGGAAGAATAAAAAATAGATTCATATTTATCAGTCTGCACAAAACTAAATTCCAAATCAATCTGGTACCTAACATAAGACCAACTACTCTGAGTCAGATGGAAAAGAAGTACCCCATGGTGTCTCTCAAGGTAATAGGAAACAACAAATAAATCACAAGCACATAAAGCATATAGTAAACCTACAGGAGAAGAAAAAAGAAACTTAAATGAAGCTGAGCGGCCTCTCCTTCCTTTGATCCTCGCCTATCAGGAATAACCCAGTTGCCTCCACCAAACTCTGTGTTTGGCTGGGGTTCACTGGCTCCCACTGCTGCTGGGAAGGCTCCAGAGATGGCATCCTCTCCTGCTCCTAGGCTTCACCTACTACCTTCATCCTGTCAGCTTCTACCAAAACCTGGCACAGACCATAGTGTGATTCCAACATTAGGAGTTCTGGTGAGACTGCACTGCCTCTGGTGGCCTCCAGATTGTGCCAGCCAAAGAAACGGAGAAAAAAAAAAATCATTATACACCAAATAGAGCAGGAGACAATTCCCAGCAAGACAGGACAAGAGGCATAACCACAAAGACACACAACACTCAGAGGCACCTCAACTCACGATCAGTGGAGAGTCAATTGCTCCCTTAAAACTACTCTACTATCAAGTCAGGGAAGTCCCCATTGATCCTGCCAGATGAGCGCCCAAATGTTAGGGTCCAAGAATCACTGAAGGAAGACCCGAGACCCAAATAGTATGCAAAGGCAAAGAGGGTTTATTTTGCAAAATTACCAACATGCAGGGGTCAAATATTCATCAAAAAGGCAACTACTCAAAGAGCTTGCAGGTTACCTTTTATGGAGGGCTAGGGGAACTTTCCAGAAGGGTTAGATTATCTCTAATATGATTGGTAGTGGACAAAGCAGCGACATTAGTACAATTTTGATTGGTTGTCGTGTTAATTTCTCTATATTAGGTGAGGCCTTGAAGAATTTTGGAAACCAGCTCAGTTCTTACCTTGTTATCTCCTCCAGCTAGGTGTCTGAGGAGATGACTTATCCTCCCTAAGTCAGGGCCATTGTTAAAGGCCCATTGTCAGTGGCTCATTCTAAGGAGCCCAGTACGATTTCTGGGGAATTGAAAACATTTTTTAAATATTTATTTGTTTATTTTATGTATGAGTATTCTATCTGGATGTACAGCTACACACCAGAAGAGGGCATCAGATTGCATTATAGATGGTTGTGAACCATGTGGTTGCTGGGAATTGATCTCAGGATATGTGTAAGAGTAGCCAAGTGCTCTTAACCACTGAGCTCTATTTCCAGCCCAGAAATTGAAATTTTTATTCCCAAGGTTTTTGGACCTCTCAAGAAGTCCAGCCAAGCCAACTAACCTGGACCCTAGAGGGCTGTCAGAAACTGAACCATCCACCAAATAGCATACAAGGGCTGGACCTAGTTCCCTACCCACCCACCCCCTCAGAACAAAGGAACAGATATGCAGCTTGGTCTTCTTGTGGGTCCCACAACAATTGGAGTAAGGGCTATCCCTGACTTTGTTGCCTGCCTGTGAATCCTGTCCCCCTACCTGGCTGCATTGTCTGGCCTCAGTGGAAGTGTGCCTAGTCCTGCAGTGACTTGATGTGCCAGGGTGGGTTAGTACCCAGGGGGGCCTCCCCCTCTCAGAGTAGAAGGGGAGGAGGTATGGGGGAAGGGGCTGCTTGAGGGGGGAATTGGAAGGAGGGGGCTGTGATCGGGATATAAATGTGAATAAATAAATAAATAAATAAATGGAAAAAAGTTGAAAATATTTCTACCTGTGTAATTCTCCCTGAAGAATGACACCTGCGACTCAAATAGTATGTAAATGCAGAGTGTTTTATTCTGCAGAATGTTGGGGTCTCCCCATTACCAAGATAGAGGGATCCCTAAATGAACTCGAAGGCTCAATTTAAAGCACATTGGAATTCTGGGGTAGATGAGCTTTATCTTACCTACCTCTAGTTTATTCCAGATCTATTATCAGGCTCGAAGGCTGGAGCCTGGGGTTTAGTCTATTAGTAATTGACTTGCCTGGGCTTGCCTGGACTTGCCCAGTTCTTAGACCTAATCCCGTAACTGGCAATTTGAAGTCTGTCATGGAATCAGTCTAGCCTTCTCAGAAGCAAGGTGGTTGGTGGTGTTTCTCCATCCCTTTCTGCTTCAAGCTCCTGCTTGAGTTTCTGCCCTGGCTTTCTTTACTGATGGACTTTTGGTTATGGTGTCATTAGAGCAAAACTACAGTCTAAATGTAAACTTGCAAGTCTGCATTAACACAGTCCAATCCTTCTGAATAGTTTTTTCAACATGATTGTGAATATCGATGTTTTACCTTGATTCTTAATAACAGGTTTGGTGTGATGTAACTGTTAATGTTCGTCTAGACATTATTTTAATATTTAATAAGAAGAGTCCTAGGGAAAATTTCCCTCGAACACACTAAGAAACCATATTGGAGATCTCAGATCTTTCAAAGGCTTTTTAAGCTCTTTGCTGTCTTAGTCTCCCAAGTTCCTCTCTCTCTCTCTCTCTCTCTCTCTCTCTCTCTCTCTCTCTCTCTCTCTCTCTCTCTCGTGTGTGTGTGTGCGTCTGTGTGTGTTTGCTTTGATTGTGACAACTGTGGAATCAAGAGTTCCAGAGACCATCAGGACAAATCTTGCCAGGAACACGAAAGTGGAACAGTCCTCACTATCGGACTATCGGTCTCTCTATGACGGAGAGCAGCGTGCTGCCGGAAGTGACGCGTGACGTCCTGCGTGCGGCGGTGGGTCTGGGAGCAGGAGAAGATGGCGGTCTCCACAGGTCGGTTCCTTGCCCGGTCCGCCGCGCTCCGGCTGCTGGCTGTCCGGCGGACCGCGTGGGACTGCGGGTGCGCAGTGCGGAGGGCCACGCGAGGGGCAGGGGGTGGGGCGGCCGGCGGGGAGGTCGGCCGGCGTGTGTCCGAGCCCTCGGTAACGGGGAGCCTGCGCGCCCACCGCCCGCGACGGCCCTGCGGGAGTCCCGGCAGATCAGGGCGCCGCAGCCGAGCTGAGGGTGGAGTGTGCTGGGGCGGCCCGGGTTGGCGGTGGCATTGCCCATCAACGAGGCAGTGGCGGAGAGGCATCCTGGATGGAGCCGGGGATCTCGGCTGGGACACGTGCAGGAGGACAGGACTAACAGGGAGGACGGCTGCTGTTCGGAATAAGAGAGCGATGATTTTACTTAGCTGGCCGAATACGTGTTCCTTTTTTTTTTTTTTCCCATTTAAGTGAAAAACTGCGGTACACTGAGCACGACGCAGGACAGTTGGTGCCTTAGATAAATTGTTCACCTGTCTACAATGATCTCCTATGAGCAGAAACTTGAAATTTAAGTATTGACAGGGTTTAAAAATTTGATGACTTAAAAAATTTTAAGTTAAAACAGGTTAAAAGTGTTGAGTTTTAGCATTTAAAAGTGATGGTTCATAAGATTTATTTTTTTCTAGTTCTTACTGAATCTAGGTTGTAGACATGGAAGAGGTTGAGTGGATGTTGTAATTGTTACATTTCAAGGTAATACCTTCATATACATTTTTCTTATTGTTTAAATCTTACCTTATTGTGTATAAGTGTCATAGAAAGTAAAATCTTTAGCAATTCTACCTCTGGAAAATATATCAGTGGTCTGATCAGAGCTTGATCAAAGACCAAGGATCATTTTAAAAGCGATATTTTAATGTTACAACCCTTAATCTCTTTACTTGCTATTTGAAATATATGTGCTAATTAATGGGGCCATGTTTTTTTAAGAGTTATGCTCAATACCTTAAAATTTAACTAATAAAATGGTGTATTGTAATATGAAAAGTGTCAATTTGTGATTGCATTTGTTTTTGGAAACATTTAACACTACTCATATGAAAGAATGCTAAGTATTTTTTAAAAAGCAGCAATTAGATAATATGAGTGGCACATACTTTTTGTCAAACTGTTTTTGGAAATTGAATGGCATTGAATTGTATACTATAAATAAGCTTTGATGGATTATTTGCACATGTATTGCATATTAGATATCTGTTTCCTCTTTTTTTCACTGGTTTTAGACCAAGGAAATGGGAACTTTGGTATAGTTAAAATACATTTTAGAGCCGGGCGGTGGTGGCGCACGCCTTTAATCCCAGCACTCGGGAGGCAGAGGCAGGCGGATTTCTGAGTTCGAGGCCAGCCTGGTCTACAGAGTGAGTTCCAGGACAGCCCGGGCTATACAGAGAAACCCTGTCTCGAAAAACAAAAACAACAAAAAAAAAAAAATACATTTTAGAAAATGGAGCTTATTTATTTATTTTATGAGTCAGTATGTAGCCAGGCTGGCCTTGAACTCTAACTGGAAAAAGTTTGGAGGAAAATAATTCAAATTAGATTGAGAATTCCTTCTTAGAAAATTGAGAAACCAAAGAAGTAAAAAGTTATACATAACTCTTCAGGAAAAGAAGCAAGATTATATAATCCAGTGTTCTCTCATCATGAATAACTGAATTTGGAGTATTCCTCAAAGGTTGAGCTTTATTCTGTTTTAGTCTAGACACTGACTTTCATACATTCCTTCCTAGGTAAATTTTTCTTTTACAGTCTTAGTTCCTTCTCAGATGGAAGTATGTCTGAAGTTTCCTCCTTCTTTCCCTAACTCATGAGAATTTCATAGAATTTAGCTTAAGCATTACTCAAGGGAAAAGATGTTTACTAATATTTAGTATTTATGAGTAAAGATTTCATTTGATTCAATTACTGTGATTTACTGTGTAAAAAAGGAAGTTCTGTGTGTTCTGTGGCAGTGCATTCCTATGATCCCAGCTTTGAGGTAGGACTGTGAGTTGTGTGTTCTGTGGTAGTGCATTCCTATGATCCCAGCTTTGAGGTAGGACTGTGAGTTGTGTGTTCTGTGGCAGTGCATTCCTATGATCCCAGCTTTGAGGTAGGACTGTGAGTTGTGTGTTCTGTGGTAGTGCATTCCTATGATCCCAGCTTTGAGGTAGGACTGTGAGTTGTGTGTTCTGTGGTAGTGCATTCCTATGATCCCAGCTTTGAGGTAGGACTGTGAGTTGTGTGTTCTGTGGTAGTGCATTCCTATGATCCCAGCTTTGAGGTAGGACTGTGAGTTGTGTGTTCTGTGGTAGTGCA